GGGGGGGGATGGAGATAGATCAGGAAACACAACAATGGTAATAATAAACAGGATGGTTAAACTTCCAGCTCTTGTGACAGTCTACCTTAAGAGTCTCTCTTACATTTTTAAAAAAAGTACACAATGTTGCTTCCTTGTGAGTATTTCAGCTTTCCCGGGACTATTCTGTTTGACCAAGTCTCAGCATTATCTATCATGGTTGAGCAGATTAGTTCTTGGATGGTAGATGATTCCAGGTATATGCTAACATAGGAGGCTAAAAAAAAATACACCAGAGAAAACCATGGCAAACTAATGCCATGCCATCGTCAAGAAAACAAACTACCAACAGGCCCTTTTAATCTGATCTGGCAAGATCCTTCCCACGTTCTTAATATATATATGGATTTGAATTGATTGGCTTTGGTTAAGGGGACTCCAAATCTGACTAAAAATGCAGCACTTTGATGATTTACTTAGTTACAGTCAATATATTTCCCTCCTTCCCTAATTCAGCCTTTGCCCACCTGGATATCTCCCCTACTGATTTCAAACTCCAATATGAGAATTATGTACATCAAAGTTAAATACCAAACATCTGGACATCTTTTGTTTCAAAGAATTGAATATAAATCCGTGGCTTGTCTCAAAGAGGATCTCAAGATGGCAAAATGTCCTTCCAAAGATGTCCATTAAGTTCACTCACTTGGAAGGATCAACTGTAGGAATGTGAGAATCCCATTCAGGAGCTATTTTAATCTTGCTTTCAGGGTCCATTTTAGAATCCAGAACACCAAATATGGATCCTCTCTATACCCTTCTTCTCTGTCATCAACCTTCATGAAAATGGTGGCTAGTTACTTACAGCTCCTTTCTTATCTGCTGAGCTGAGAGTGAACCAGTGATATCTAGGCCAGGGGTGTCAAAACTTGGGAATTTTGTGGACTTCAACTCCCAGAATTCCCCAGCCAGCAATGCTGGCTGGGGAATTCTGGGAGTTGAAGTCCACAAGTGTTAAAGTTCCCATGTTTGGAGACCCTTGATCTAGCCTTCACATTTCCTTCCTTATCTTCTTTATTGCTATTGAACAATACTACAGGCAGTCCTCGACTCACAACAGTTTGTTTAGTGACCGTTTGAAGTTACATCTTCACTCCAAAAAGAGACTTATGACCATTTTTCCACACAAAAGGTGATCATGTGATCCCCTTTTGCAATCTTCTAACAAGCAAAGTCAATGAAGAAGCCAAGTTCACTGAACAACTGTTTTACTAATTTAACAAGTGTAGCGATTCACTTAACAACTGTGGCAAGGAAGGTCGTAAAATTGAGCAACCCTCAACAAATGTCTCA